TTAATACGAGGAGACACGATGAAGAATATTTCTCAGTCTAATTAAAGTCGAATGAAATAGTTTTAAAATAAAATATACCTCAGATGTTAACTCTGAGGCCAGACTGCTTTAAGATTTGAAAAAAGGTATTTGAAAAAAAATCAAGGTGACAATTTAGTCATCAGTGCTGCCTTTAAAGCAGCAGCTGAACGGCTTCTTCAAAGCTTTTAACACTGCTGAAAAAAACCTGGCAAGTTTGGATTTCTTTGGAGGATTCATGAAGCCACTGAGATTCATTGCTATGTGCATCAGAATAGTGTCGTCAAAAGATGAATCTTCTGATATCATTACATTGAAGAACTTGTCTGCAGATCCAAACTCCTCGATAAGGCCTTTAGCTGTGGCCTTGACTAATTTATTCATGTTATTATTAAGAATTTTTAGGTATTCGGTGCATCTATCTTCAGAAAGTACCAAATCTGTCAGATGGTTGACAACTAAGTCTATTTTTCCTCGATCCAGAAGATTTCTGGCATTTTTGTGCAATTTGTGTTTTATTCTCATGACCAGAGAAACGCTAAATTGATTTGAAATTAGCCAATCATCAGGTGACACTGATGTTTCTGACAGTTCTTCCTCTGGGTTTTCAGAGGTTGCTGGCTGACTTTGACCCTCTGTGGGTTCAGAGTGAGACACTAATGCCTGATCACCAATATTCATTGCTAGGTGCTTCAGAATAGTGTCGTCAAAAGATGAATCTTCTGACAACATTACATCGAAGAGCTTGTCTGCAGATCCAAACTCCTTGATAAGGCCTTCAGCTGTGGCCTTGACTAATTCAACCCTGTTAATTTTAAGAATTTCCAGGGATTCGGTGCATCTCATTTCAGAAAGTACCAAATCTGTCAGATGGTTGATAACTAACTCTAATTTTTCTGGATCCAGAAGATTTCTGGTATTTTTGTGCAAATTTTGTGCGATTCTTGTGGCTAGAAGAGTACTAAATTGATTGGCAATAAGTTTAGCATGAATTGACACTGATGTTTCTGACAGTTCTTCCTCTGGGTTTTCAGAGGTTGCTGGCTGACTTTGACCCTCTGTGGGTTCAGAGTGAGACACTAATGCCTGATCACCAATATTCATTGCTAGGTGCTTCAGAATAGTGTCGTCAAAAGATGAATCTTCTGACAACATTACATCGAAGAGCTTGTCTGCAGATCCAAACTCCTTGATAAGGCCTTCAGCTGTGGCCTTGACTAATTCAACCCTGTTAATTTTAAGAATTTCCAGGGATTCGGTGCATCTCATTTCAGAAAGTACCAAATCTGTCAGATGGTTGATAACTAACTCTAATTTTTCTGGATCCAGAAGATTTCTGGTATTTTTGTGCAAATTTTGTGCGATTCTTGTGGCTAGAAGAGTACTAAATTGATTGGCAATAAGTTTAGCATGAATTGACACTGATGTTTCTGACAGTTCTTCCTCTGGGTTTTCAGAGGTTGCTGGCTGACTTTGACCCTCTGTGGGTTCAGAGTGAGACACTAATGCCTGATCACCAATATTCATTGCTAGGTGCTTCAGAATAGTGTCGTCAAAAGATGAATCTTCTGACAACATTACATCGAAGAGCTTGTCTGCAGATCCAAACTCCTTGATAAGGCCTTCAGCTGTGGCCTTGACTAATTCAACCCTGTTAATTTTAAGAATTTCCAGGGATTCGGTGCATCTCATTTCAGAAAGTACCAAATCTGTCAGATGGTTGATAACTAACTCTAATTTTTCTGGATCCAGAAGATTTCTGGTATTTTTGTGCAAATTTTGTGCGATTCTTGTGGCTAGAAGAGTACTAAATTGATTGGCAATAAGTTTAGCATGAATTGACACTGATGTTTCTGACAGTTCTTCCTCTGGGTTTTCAGAGGTTGCTGGCTGACTTTGACCCTCTGTGGGTTCAGAGTGAGACACTAATGCCTGATCACCAATATTCATTGCTAGGTGCTTCAGAATAGTGTCGTCAAAAGATGAATCTTCTGACAACATTACATCGAAGAGCTTGTCTGCAGATCCAAACTCCTTGATAAGGCCTTCAGCTGTGGCCTTGACTAATTCAACCCTGTTAATTTTAAGAATTTCCAGGGATTCGGTGCATCTCATTTCAGAAAGTACCAAATCTGTCAGATGGTTGATAACTAACTCTAATTTTTCTGGATCCAGAAGATTTCTGGTATTTTTGTGCAAATTTTGTGCGATTCTTGTGGCTAGAAGAGTACTAAATTGATTGGCAATAAGTTTAGCATGAATTGACACTGATGTTTCTGACAGCTCTTCCTCTGGGTTTTCAGAGGTTGCTGGCTGACTTTGACCCTCTGTGGGGTCAGTGATAGCAGGTGAAAAAGGCTCTGAATTAATGGGGGTAGGGGTTCTAACACTGGATACAGACATTGTCAATGACTTAGTTTCGCTACAATTACTTTGGAAATCCGTTTTCAGAAAGCTTTCAGAAAGGGAAGATCGCGGTCTGTACATTTAACGCACGACAACTAAAAATGCAAAATGCAAGGTCCCGCTGTTTCACCCCTATTTATAGACTCGAGTGGAGGTCACGTGCTGCAAGATCAAAGGCACGTACTGTGACATCAAAGCAGAAAGGAACTGAGCTGTGTGACGTCATGCCGCGAGCGTTCACCTACATGCACGTGCACACCTGAGCGATCACTAATAAATCACAGACGCATCAACGTCGGTGTTGTCAAACTTTCAATCATACCTGCAGCCAGTTCTTTGAAGCTCTCAAATGGGTTGAATGGCGGCTGTTTTCCACCATCATCGCAGAGCATTCCTCCAGCAGGTCCAACGCCTGATTCAACAAAACCCGCGACTCCGGCAGCTGTGCTCCGAAGCAGTTTGCTAATGTGATGCTAACTAGCTAATGTGATGCTAACTAGCTAAAGAATCCTAACAGGTACTTAAAAAACAAAGGGGACGAAGGAGGAGGAGGAGAAGTGGAGACAGCAACCTGACTGACTGGTTCATCTGAGGCTCTCAGTGGTTCCCTGTCTCAGCGAGATTCACAACACTTCTTGCAACAAACTCCCGTAACCATGGTTACAGGAGGACGCTCTGTTTGTGGCAGTCATTATCACAGTATGACGTCACAAAGAGACGTTAATAAATATTAATTCATGCAATTTAAACACATTTTTTATTTTACTATTGAGGTGTATAATAGTTTAATATGGCACGACACCCTCGCTGATGTTGATGCCTAGGAATCTGAAGCAGCTGACTCTCCACCTCTGCTACTGCTGCTCTCCTGTAACCCACGATGAGCTCCTTGGTTTTGCTGATGTTAAGCACCAGGTTGTTGTCACGGCACCGTGATGTCACGCCTCTCACCTCTGTCCTGCATGACGTCTCATCTCCATCAGAAATGCAGTCAATGAGGAGATTAGACTTTACTGATCGACGGCAGGAAAATTTGTGCGTTACCTCAGCTCAGGTAGAGATAGCAGAAGAAAATAGAAATAAAATATAAACAACTACAAAATAAATAAGATAATACACTATATACAACAGTAGCATACACAGTATGTGACTATGGATAGAGTGTTGTGGAAATGCAAGAAATACATTTAATTATTTTTACATTACTATTACTATTTAAGCAATAGATATCTAAAAGTATCTATAAGTATAGACATGTACTTGCACACACATCTACACACTAAATATACACATGTATACATATACATACACATATACCTGCACACCAGGTAAATGTCCAGTGACTCATGACAGCGTGATTGAGGAGTTATAGAGTCTAACTGCTGTTGGGATCAAGGATCTGCTCAGCTCACAGACTCATGCAGAGGATGATGTGGGATGTTCGTGATGGATGTCAGCTTTACTAGCATTTTTAGCACACGATCAAAGTTTCTGTGGATGCTTGAAAAATCTTGAAGAACATTGAATTCACTGAAGGTTTTAAAAATAATGCTGTAATCAGTTTCGTTACAGTTGCAGTGTTGTCTTCTGCTACTGTAGGCCACAGCAGCAGACGACAACACAGGTTGAGTAAGTGGGAGTGGGTGTTTTCAGACACAGAAGAACAACTTTAGATTAATCAAATAAAAATGTATTCAGTCAGCTTTCCAAATGTGAATGTTTCAGTTGTCTGTGAGTAGGAACTCAACTCTAATAAACTATAAGTTTAGTTAACTATAAAAATTGTATGCTTGTTTGCAAAGCTTGATGTGTTTCTGCATCTTCACAGAGTTTCTCTCAGTTTGTGGTCGAGAGTCCTCCAAATGTAAGCATCGAACCAGAGCTAGAATTTGGCTGCTTAATCTTTATTTCACTTCCTGGATGCTGTTTCTGTTTTCCATCAGGGTCGTTCTCATGCTTTCTATTCTGATGTAAAGTAACTGGAGGAAAGCAGCTCCCCAGAACAACGATTTGTCTCCAGACATTGGCCACCTCCACCATAGCAGATAACCAGGAGTGCTCCAAGGATCAGGAAACACTGGGGACTTGAAAAAATGCTAAAATTATTTCAGAGTAAAGTTAATATAAAATGTCAAACACTGTGTGCTTCCTAGTCAGTGAGGTTTAAATTTGATCCCTCTTTGTTTATTGTATGTTGTATGTTTATTATTAAACATACTTGACCAATGTACGGTGCAGTTAAATGACATCAGTCAAATACAAAACCACATATCAGACAAGCAAACCATTGAATCAACACGAATCACTTATTTATATTGGTTATTATCAGTAATAATGGAAAAATAAAGGTGTGTTTGGTGTCACAGGTGATTGGAAGTCAGAGATGAGTCTGACAAAGAAGCAGAAAAACATTTCAATGAGCCATAACTAGAGGTGCATGTAACTACAGGTGCATGTAACTACAGATGCATGTAACTAGAGGTGCATGTAACTAGAGTAACATGTAACTAGAGTGCATGTAACTACAGGTGCATGTAACTACAGATGCATGTAACTACAGGTGCATGTAACTAGAGGTGCATGTAACTACAGATGCATGTAACTACAGGTGCATGTAACTACAGATGCATGTAACTACAGGTGCATGTAACTAGAGGTGCATGTAACTAGAGGTGCATGTAACTACAGATGCATGTAACTAGAGTAACATGTAACTAGAGGTGCATATAACTACAGGTGCATGTAACTACAGATGCATGTAACTAGAGGTGCATGTAACTACAGGTGCATGTAACTACAGATGCATGTAACTAGAGTAACATGTAACTAGAGGTGCATATAACTACAGGTGCATGTAACTACAGATGCATGTAACTAGAGGTGCATGTAACTACAGATGCATGTAACTACAGATGCATGTAACTAGAGTAACATGTAACTAGAGGTGCATATAACTACAGGTGCATGTAACTACAGATGCATGTAACTAGAGGTGCATGTAACTACAGATGCATGTAACTACAGATGCATGTAACTAGAGGTGCATGTAACTACAGATGCATGTAACTAGAGGCATGTAACTAGAGGTGCATATAACTACAGGTGCATGTAACTAGAGGTGCATATAACTAGAGGTGCATGTAACTACAGATGCATGTAACTAGAGGTGCATATAACTACAGGTGCATGTAACTACAGATGCATGTAACTAGAGGTGCATGTAACTACAGGTGCATGTAACTACAGATGCATGTAACTAGAGGTGCATATAACTACAGGTGCATGTAACTACAGATGCATGTAACTAGAGGTGCATGTAACTACAGGTGCATGTAACTACAGATGCATGTAACTAGAGGTGCATGTAACTACAGATGCATGTAACTAGTAATGTAACTAGAGGTGCATATAACTACAGGTGCATGTAACTACAGATGCATGTAACTAGAGGTGCATATAACTACAGGTGCATGTAACTACAGATGCATGTAACTAGAGGTGCATGTAACTACAGATGCATGTAACTAGAGTAACTAGTGCATGTAACTACAGATGCATGTAACTACAGATGCATGTAACTAGAGGTGCATGTAACTAGAGGTGCATGTAACTACAGATGCATGTAACTAGAGGTGCATGTAACTACAGATGCATGTAACTAGAGGTGCATGTAACTACAGATGCATGTAACTAGAGGTGCATGTAACTACAGATGCATGTAACTAGAGGTGCATGTAACTAGAGGTGCATGTAACTACAGATGCATGTAACTACAGGTGCATGTAACTAGAGGTGCATGTAACTAGAGGTGCATGTAACTACAGATGCATGTAACTACAGGTGCATGTAACTACAGATGCGTGTATATCAAATCTTACATTGTAATGTTAAAACCAAAACCTTTTGCTAACACAGAATGTATTTTAAGTGGTAGTGCTAGTCTTTTAAGCAGAAGCATATTAAAAGCAGTCATACCAAATACTGACTTTCAAGCTTTTTAAAATTGTATAAGCTTGGTTTTTAGTATTTATACTATATTGCATGCATGTTCCCATGTTATAATAAATTAATCTTAGGTTCCTCTTGTTCCGTAACTCACGGCTTTTGTCACTACAGGAGCAAAGGGGTGTAACCCAGCTGATACCTCGGTGCTCTGATGACACCAACAGAAGTCACTCAGCCCCCGTAAACAGAGATAAACCACACAGTTTATCCCTGTGGAAAGAAAATTACCACCATGAAGCAGCCAAAAAGACGACAACAAAGTTACAGTGGGGACAGACCCTTTAGCTGTGATCAGTGTGGGAAGTCTTTTAATCAAATTAGTCACTTAAAAACACATCAGCTCATCCATGCTGGAGTTAGACCACTCAGCTGTGGCGAGTGTGGAAAGTCTCAGACTGTGACAAGCGAATCCCCTACACGACCACATAGTTCGCTCTTTCTAACAGTTCTTTATCCGGTTGCTCGTTCGTACAATACTCGGTTGCTTTTCAGCTGCAACCCCACTCACAACAACAACCTCAGGTCCCGACACGTCTTATGCAGCGGAGGCGTGATGAACTGATGGAGCTGCAGTCTGTCAGCCTCCCCTGCAGCTGTGCCACAAACCAGTCCCCGCTGCACAGACCCTATCTGGGAAACTGGTTCCAGAGCCTGAAGCAGTATCTCTGATTCTGTTCTGATGTCCCGATTGTAATCAAACTGCAACGAAAAGCATTAAACCGTCTGTCAGCTGAGTTGTTGTGGCATGAATGTTCATCATGAATTGTTGAAAAATTGTAGCAACAAAGTCTTTTAAGTATTTTTGTAATGGCTGAACGCAGTTTTTGCACAATTGAAAACGAGTGGGAGATGTAACAAAGGTGAATCTTTATTTAGGCTGTTGTCTGACTGCAGAATTACAAAGTCTAAGTGCAGAATGATAAAGTTAATGAGATTAAAAAGCAAATTAATTCCACTGTCCTTCATAAACAGAAGACACCACCATTTAAACACAGAAAGCCAACAAAACAGGTGAAGATGATCAATGACAATGAGAGAGGAGAGGGACGTAAAACTAAACATGAAATGTTTCTGACAGTTGACCGCCAAAATAAAATGGGACATATCCGGTGTGAATATCGAACTCAACAGGGAAACAGACACACGGATAAACCCCACGGAATAAAGACTCCAAACATGCTCAAGAACAAAAGAAGAGTATTATACGATACCGTAAATACCTAACAAAGAGTTCAACATTGTAAAACTCAAGGTCAGTCCCAGAGGACCCGTCCCAGCTGGTCACATTGTACAAATGTTTGGACAAATTTACTTGTAATCAGAAGGTTTTTCAGACCTGATTGCGTTTTTCTTCCCTAGTGCTCTTTTGAAATCTCTCTCTGATGATTTTTAATTTGAGATCAGATAACTCAGGCTTTCTGCTCCCTACTCCTCAGGCTGACTCTCTTCTAGGCTCTCCTGACTGTTCCCTTTACATGCTGATGATGTGTCTTGTAAATCTGGATCCCATTCCAGCAGGACGCTCCTCTTCTTCAGACAGTACCTCAGCTGCTCTCTCTCCTGACAGTCAGCTGTCCACCTCTGCATGGCCAGTCGAGCCAGCGCCGGCATTTGAGGCAGAGCTCGGAGCAGAGCGGGCAGCCAGGCTGAGCACGGAGCAGAGGTTGAAGGTCGCAAACTGACATCCACGTCTTCCAGAGAGCCCAGACCTCCTGCTGCAAACAGACTGCACCAACCGTTGTCTCCCACCAAGCTGTTGTAGGACAGATCCAGTGCACGGAGTGAGGAGAGACAGCCCCGTCTGCACACGGCAGCTGCACAGAGGAAGAGGACCCATTGATAACTGATCACTTTATGCCTGTTCACTTTACTGTTTTGTTCACAATGTTTCTGATGGAGACAAAAATAACACCGAATAGTTTCATTGTTTTGTTTTATACGACAGCTACAGATGCTGAAAGCATGAAATAAATGAAAGAAATATTAATTTTCTTCAGGCTTTACTTGTCTTAATATACATTTATGTAGCCTAATGATCCACTACAGACCAAAAAAGAAAAAGTATAATGTCACTGTGTGTTAGTTACCCAGATGTTGCATGTCATCAGTGGTGAGCTCGCAGCTGCAAAGACGGAGCTCGCTGACGACTGATGGCTGCAGAGCATCCAGCAGGAGCGCCAAGTGACCGCCAACCACTTTACACCAGGAAATATCCACCGTGCGCAGATAGGACACCGCCAGGGCTGATGCATAAACACAAGGTTTTCACCATTTCAGGCTAGAGGGTGGAAGAGGTATTCTGGGAGAATGACTTGAAGGAAAACTTCTATAAATAAACAAGTGGTGTGTGTGTGTGTGTGTGTGTGTTGTGTGTGTGTGTGTGGGTGTGTGTATGTGTGTGTGTGTTGTGTGTGGTGACCGCAGAGCAGTGAAGGACTCGTTGCTCATGTAGCAGCTGTTGAATGGCAGCCGCCTCATTTGTGTCACAGGGAGGGCGGAGACCAGCAGGTGGACCACACCTCCCACTTCCTTATTGGATGACACATCAAGCTCGGTCAGTGCAGTGAGAGAGGGCAGCACCTGGACTGAAAAACAACGAGTCACATGACTGCTGCAGCGTGCATGCGATTAGTGTCCGGCGTGTGAGATTGGTAGCAACTCACTCAGAGCCTCTAGATCATCTTGCGTGAGGCAACACAGGTGGAGGTCGAGTCTCTCCAGGTGTGTGACGTGAGCCAGGTGAAAGGTGAGGCGGCTCAGTCCACCAGCTAGAAGTTTGTTACAGGACAGGTCCAGCTCTCCCACAGAGGGGAGGCAACGGAGTGAACCACCTGCAGGACAACCAGAGGTGTGTTTTTTTTTTTTTATTTACCCCTCCGAGACTCTTATAGGACATAAAACAAAAGCAGCAATAAAAAGGAAAAATCCAGAGATCTTTGTACCGAGAGCATCAAGGCTGTCAGGCGTTAGACCGCAGGCCTGCAGTCGAAGCGTGGTGAGGGAGGTGGCGTGAGAGAGAGAGCTGACCAATTCCCTGAAGCCACCAGTGTCCACTTCCTGTGTGAGCTGAGCATTACAAGAGACGTCCAGCACACAGAGTCTGGGCAGAGCAGCCACCATTCCTCCTGAGAGATTTATGAACAGGAAAACCTCATCCATACAAATGTATCAACGAAGAGACAGCAAAAAAACAGACAAGAACATAATAAAACACCAACTGACAGCCCTGTTAAAATGGATCCAAACTGCTGCTCCTTATGTTCTCTTCTATAATATAACTATACTATACATCTAACTAATAATGAGGTCGGTGCAGGCAAACTAATCTTCAGCCCGCTTTAGACACTCAGATTCAGTCTTTTTACCCTTGAGTCTTTATCACCTCACAGAGAGAGGATATTCCTTATATGGTCATTGTTACCTCATAAAGTAAACAGAGTTCAGATAAATTAGCTAAAGCTATCCTCTCAAGACAGAATTTTTTTCTGTGAGTTAGTTTGAAATTTCTCTGTGAGCCAGTAAATCAAGATGAATGATCAAAGCTGTAAAACTGAGGGCTTATGCGCAGTGGATGAACTGTAGGGGTGAAGCACAGCCCAATATAAGATAAAGAAGGATTATTTTGAATATAAATCATGAAAAGCTACTCTATTCTATTCTACTTGAGGAATAAAACTATGGAGCTCAAGATGTTCTCCATAGATTTGAAGTTACTACCTAGCACTGTAGCATCGGCCGCAGTGAGCTGACAGGCCACCAGGTGGAGCTCCCTCAGTGATGGGTGAAGGTTTCCCAGCAGGCCTTGCAGACCACCGCCCCCAACGCCGCTGTTCCAGGACAAATCAAGAACTTCCAGAGCCGGGATGTAGCTGAGAGCTTCACCTGCACAAAACATGGAAAAATCCAACGACATGTGATCAGACAAAAGTTTTTCTGTCAAGGCAAGAGTGTGAACCATTCAGCAAAGCCTCATGGGAGCTGTAGTGGGGAAGGAAATCAAGCAAAAATAACTTGATTGCATAAAGAGATTGTTCTGTTATAGCTATAAATAAAGCAGAGTGTCTGCACTGAAGATCCCACCAAGAGCAACGACGTCTTCGCCATTTAGCCTGCAGCTGCAGAGCCTCAGTGTCCTGACCTCGCCCACGTGTTGCAGATGAGACGTCAGAGCCGTCAGGGATCCACCGATCAACTCGTTCCAGGAGATGTCCATCTCTTCCACCTGGGGGAGGAACTGCAGCAACGTTGCTGAGAAGAAACGGCAAGAAAAACATCTGTCTGCCTTTCTGCCAGCTGACACCTTACAATGAAGTCACATTACTTTATTCAGACTTAATTTCAGATGCTCCGCCTCTTGAAATGAAGCTGCATCATTGTGTTTGTGCCTTTGGGCGTATTTTTAATGCAGTTATCTGACAGATACCATGTCTGTCTTGTGTGACAGGTATGTGCGTTTTTGTACCAAGCTCCAGCAGGTCTGTAGCCGTCAGATCACAGTGAGCCAAACTGAGGCTCCTGCTGTCGGCTTTCTTCCCGAGTCTCTTCAAGAAAACACACACTCGACCCCAGCCGACGTCCCGCTCACTCTCTGCTGACGCTGCAAAGCCTGAAACACACGATACACACCCACAGGGCTTAGCGTGTCACTGTAAACTGATTTTCCACAGTAAACTCTATTTTCTTGAGCTCTGTATTTCGTTTCTGAACCTCTGATTTTATCCACCTTTTAAAAAAAAAATAAAGCAACCTCTTTACGCTTTCCTCTCTAAAAACTAGGACATGTTTGAAATACTAGGATTTTTCTTTCTTTCTCTCTTTTAAATGATCTTTTAAGTCACTTTCTCTTAAAAAGACTGCAGTACTGTGAATACAGAATGGTTGCTTCTCCTAAACAGACTGGTTCTTATACAGCTTTTCTAGTTGAGCAATTAAAGTGCGTCATTTTTTTCTTCATGTAAAGGCTTTCTATCTGACATTTACACTCCAATGGATGCAATCGGAGAGCAGCTTGGGGTTAGCATCTATCCCGAGGATATTTGGCATGCAGACCGGAGCAGTCAGGGCTCAAACCACCAACCTTCTGATTAGTAGATGTCCTGCTCTACCTTTTGACCTACAGCTGCCCCAGACTCCTGGGGCCCTCAGTGTAACCTTGAACTAAACACCCATTAAAAAAAATCCAAGTTAAAATCTCGTGCTGCTTTGAACAGTACAAACCTGAGTTCGGTCCTCTGTCCTCTTTCATCTCCGATTCTCCGTCCTCGGGGATCCCCGGCCGGTCCGAGGTCCACGACAGGAAGCGTCCTAACGGCTTCCTGTCTGAGGCCGTGCGCTTCCTGCGGATCTGACTCATGATCACATCAAGTGGGGAACCTTTCCACCTGCTGCCACTGCCGTCCCGCCCCCGCTGACCATCTAATCAATGATAGGAGGAGAGAAAAGTTGAGTCTCGTCAAAAGTCACAGTTTGACATCTGAGATTATTTAAGGGATGAGCGATGGATGGGGTTAGCTATAAATCCTGTGGTGTATGGACTGGTTCAAGCTACATACCTGTCCCTATAAAAACACTGAACTGCCTCTTCAGATACCAAATTAAATTACCAATTAAAAACAAAGAGAAATCATCATCATTACAGTGGTTTTGATTCATATGTGCATATTTACAGGTTTATTAAATTATAATTAATGTGAAAATATCTATTTATGACTTGCAGGGACAGAAGGTAGAGACTTATTTGTTCTTCCTTATTTTCTGTCACATGTATCCTGTTCCTGTGCTAAACCTGCTGATAAAGAGGTCGGTGTGTGTAAAGTAACACCTGAGGGCCAAAAGTTCACACTGATCCAAAAACACTCCGTCTTGCACAGTTTTTTCAACTCTCTGTCTGTATGATGTAATAGAGAGGAGATATGCAGATACAGAAGCTTCACCCATTTCCAGCTTACGAGCAGGAGCCAATCAGAAGTAAGCTGGCTTGAAGGGGGAGGGGTTTAATTGGTTTTGTTATAGATAGGCAATGAACTGATGCGGTTCACCAAAGCCCAGTAAAGGCTAAAGAAGGGTTATTTTGAGCTGCCAGTCATGCCAAACTACTCTAGTATAGTGGAATAAAAAATTGTGCTGGAAGCAGAATTGGTCCAACTTAAAGAAGAAGTAAAAACAAGTAAAAACAGGGATACTGAAATATGCAGCGTGGTGCAGGTGTGCGCAAGCGTTTGAATGCACTACCCGCGTATATGAGCCTCTTCACTAAGGTTTCAGTTGCTGTCTTATTTGCTCCTTTAGGAGTCCCCACAGAGGATCTGGATATCCGCTGGTTTTACTTTAGATATGCAAGTTTAATTTGATGCTGAATTTTTTGTAGTAGAGCTGAAGGATTATGACTTTGACTTAGTACAGAATCTACCACTGCTACTTGTTTCTACACTAAAACAGTTAATCGATACAAAAACTGCAGACACTTTTCATGCAGTGCGTGTGTAGTGGAGCACAGAGCTCACTATTTAAAAGAACACATGAATGAATATCTTTATTGTCATTGTCGCTTGAACAGCTAATTTAAAACAAACATGCTGCCTCCAACTCGTAATCCTGGGAAAGCACCTGGCTAACATAGTGTTGAAACAAGGTGTTACTATTTATTATACTGCTTAGAAAAAGGTCGCAAATGGCCTGAAATGGTCACAGCACTGAGTTAAACATTAACCTGTTGGTAATTATACCTTCCTGTATTACAGGTCCTGTTAAACTAGTCAATGCTTAAAACTTTAGCATATAAAAATAACCCTGCAGTGAAATTAGAGCCATGAAAAACCTTTATTTTCAAGCTAGTTCAGGTTTTTGAATCAGCAGCAATAAAAGATGGATTCAGAGGAAGAATTATAAGCTTTCAGGATAAAAATCAGGGTTTGTAGTTTAATTGTTGATGTACTGAACAGCAGAAGTCCTCTTACCTGCAGACTCCATAATCTGAAGACAAAACACAAACAAACTATTGAAGATATAGATATAGATATAGACATATATCGGGTGTGTTTTTATGAGTCAGTCGCGACTCGCTGACGGTCAGTTTGGAGAAAAACATAACAAGAAAAAACAAACAAACAAACGACTCTCCCTAAACTCTGCACCGAGTCTGAATCACGCCCGCAGGATCCATAAAGTCCAAGAATTCGGCGTTTTCCTCAATCACTCCTTCTACTCCTCTCTGAGCGGAGACGGAGAGACTGCCACCTGCGTGACGTCACGTCCCGTGCTCGTCAGGTGGATCAACCCGGAAGCGCGACACCACCTTCAGTAAATTGTTGCCATAGAAGCCATTAAAATGCAAATATTTATACACGGTTATAAGACCGTGGAGGTCAGTTTGAGAATATTTTGAAAATAAAAGCATACAATGCAAAAATATAAACATTTAAAATTTTAAAAGGGAGTTTGTTCAAGTTCAAAAACTACTTCAAAAGCTACTGAAAATAAATCCATACTGGGTCATAGAGGTGTATGTTAATATATTCGTATATGCTGATATCCATCTTTTGCTATGTGGTAACATTAAAAAAAAAGTAGTCGTTTAGAAGAATTATTAAAGCCGAATTAACCATAAACAGATTTTTTTGATCTGCAACACGACGTGTGCAGAAAAGTATCACTGAACTACTGCTAACCTTAAACAAACAAAAAAAATCTTTAAAACGTAAAGATTCTTAGGCGAGGTCTGAGCGTCCCATGATGCATTGCCTCAATACGGCATTGCACATCGCCTCCTAATTATATAAAAGTAATTCATCATTGTATGGAATATACTACTGTTAGGTTTTAAGGGGTAATTTAAGCAATTCTAACGATCTGTAGCATCTGCACTGAGGCGGGAGGTCGAACCGTTCAGAACTCGCTTGACAATGATTAAGATTTTAGGATTTCTATACAGTTGAACGAATCCCCGCAATTCATCAGTGCGATTAATGGTTCAAAGCATTAAGAAACTGTTCATATTTAATTCTGCATAGTTTGTATGGCTTTTAAACTTACTCCCACACGTTTTTCAACGCTTTTTGACCTTGGGGGTATTTTCAACCCCTGACGGCAATTTCAAAGGGCAAAATGACGTTTTATTTTTAAATTTAATTCGGACCTCTAACAGCCATTCATACAGTGAATGGACCAGTGTCTACTTTTAATAGTTTGTTGTTGTTTTTTTAAATTTGTAAGCTCTCTGGGACGACACAGTTTTTAATTTTATTATCACATAAAACAAAGAAAAGGGGGACAATCAAAAATCTTTAAAAAGAAAAAAAAAAACATTTTTTCTTTATTACAATTTGGTCAAAATTAAAACTTATCCACCAAGTAATTTCATCTCTGAGTTTCCCTGTAACAGCAAGAATGATGCTCAAAGACGACCTGGTTCCTTCCAAATTGATTTTATTCCACCTGTAATCTGAGGTTAGTACAGATCATCTCCAAACTGGTTTCTGGAGTTTTGTTACAACAGTCTGAAGCGCCTCCTCCCTTCCTGGGTCCTCCTTCATCTCCAGCAGGAAGCAGAAGTTCAGAGCTCGACTTTTGCATGTCGCTGCAGAGAAAGAGGAGCAGAGCGAGGAAGCGTCTTCAAACCGCCGATATGTCCGTGTTCACTTCCCCTCCCTCCTCCGTGTGGGGAACAAATAAAAATAAAAATAAAAACAAAAAAAGAAGAGAAGAGTGTGATGGCCATGCGTTTGCTAGTCTCAGTCGTCGTCCACTGTGGGTGTGATGGTCACGCCTCTCCTGATTTGTCCCCAACCAATCAGACTGCAAGGAAGACAGAGAGAGAGAGTTACACATCAGGAGGCGTGTTCTGACACTGCAGCCAGAAACATCTGTGCAAACACCACACACACATCTCCGCCCTCACTCTTACCGCCAGTGTTTCTCCACACGTCTGCTCAGAGCGATCTTCTCTCCGACCTCTGTGCACACCGGGTTAGTCAGCACGATTTTGGCCAGATCAGCTTTGACCGCACTGACACGGCCGCCTGTCGACAGCGAGCCGATGTTTACCATCAGCACCTCGTTCTTGGACAGTTTCTGAACCTGCAGGTCAGGAAGACAGTCAGGCTGTTAATACCAAAGTCTGAGAAGCTCACACATCTTTCCTCCCTTTCCTACAAGGCATTGCTCACCTTAGCAGCCTTCTTGTCTCCCTCTGTGCGGACTCCAAGCAGCCTCCTGAGCAGGAAATAGGAGATCTCGAGCTCAGTGAAGATCTCCGGGAGCGCTCCGACGGCGCCTAGCACCTGACCGACCATACGATCTGCTCGGCACAGCGTCGGGTCGATCTTAGTACCCACACCTGCACAAAACACATAGTTTACTCATGACTTCTCCACCATTTGGCTTGGTGCTGTAGTGACCAACTCACAAACATGATGAAGGGGATGGTGGTAAGTTTTGGGAGGACCAGGTCAAAGCTTAACACCGTTTCCATGCGGGGAGAGTAAGTGAAGGCGGTGAGGAGCTACAAATACCTGGGTGTTGACCTGGACTGGTGATGCAGCACCAAGGCTGTTTACAGTAAAGAACAGATGTAACTCTACTTCCTGAGGAAACATTTCTTTTAAAAAAAAAATACAGCAGTTTTTGTTGCGGCCATCTTTTGGCGCAGCATCACAGCCGGTGACACCAGGAAGCCAAACAGGACAGTTTGGCTCTGAAATCTCCGTTACAACCCAAAACAGCTCGAGAGGGTTTATCAGCAGGAGGCTCCTTTGACCCTCTGGTAGTAAGAACAGATGCAGGATCGCCGTTTCTTAAATTCAGTTTTTTATATTTGTTATCTTGTATCTTGTAGTATTGCAGCTTGCATGTGTGTGTACTCTGGCTTTTATTTATAGAAGCTGTTGTGTGTTTTTAATAATTTGTATTTGCAGTACTGCAGTCTTTTTAAGAGGTTTAATAAAATAATCAGACCTAACTAACCAACACCAAAGATAGGAAATCAACCCATCTACCCACCAACCAAGACAACCCAAACCCAACTAATACTACCTCTAATAACCAACCGACTAAAACTCAACCCAACTCTAACCCTCCAAACCCAAAAGAAAACCAAGCAATTTACAACCAACCAAAACAACCTAGTAGGGCTGGGCCGTATCATACCGTTCACGGTGATACCTGTGTAATGTTCATAAGAAAATGAAATATGGCGATAGAGTATGGGTAAAACGCGCATGCGCAGTGCCTTTGTTTACATACGCACATGGCGGCGACGCAGAATGAGAAGAGCGAAAGTGGATCGTTGAATGAAACGGATGAACCAGAACTGGTTTGTAAAAATGCTGCAGCTTCACTGGTGTGGAACTGGTTTAGCTTTCGTCCGTCAGATACACAACAAAGCACTATTTTTGGTAGCGCATGCTAGCGGGCCGTCGTTATTACCGTGTTGTTTGGAAAATACGGCACAGCTAAAATCAATCCTTAGAATTTTCTGAAAGTCGACAGAGCCCCTTATAATCCCGTGTGCCTTATGTATGAACTCTGGTTGTGTTTACTGACCTCGAAACGATTTTATGTGCACGGCGCTCAAAAATCTGTCACATGTTTCACACGACTTTGCTAAACTACGAAGCCGCACCGCTTGATGGATTGTTACGGCTGTCGTAGGCAGAGCCTCGCGGAGTGATACGTGCTGTGCTTCAACATAATATTACCGTATTGTGTGTGTATAAGCTCTTTTTAAGTTTTGTGGATATTCTACATGGTTATGTTGAGGATATGTCGGCCAGTTTCCACTGGAAATGCCTTTTGGTTAAACTGTCAGACAGGAATTTGCACTGTTACATGTTTATATAACTTTAAAGCAGATAAAACAGCTGCTTGTTTAAGTGAAAACACATTGATGTTTGTTTTGCACTAATAAAGTTGTGGAGTTGTAAAGTATTTTGTCTGGTGTCAATTATATCGTCAGTTATATCGTTATCGCAAATTTTCAAATGTATATCGTGATGAATATTATTGGTCATATCGCCCTGCTCTACAACCTAACCTTTACCAAACCAATAAAAACAACCATCCAATCAACAAGCCTACCTCCTAACCAACCAATTAAAACAAACCAACCACCACAAACTCTACCAGCACCATCTAAAAACCAACCAATTAAAATACAACAAAAAGAAAAAACCTCAACCTACATATCTGCCTACCAAAAAACCCCAATGAAAACAAACCCAACCTACCACCTATAGCCTACACCAGCATTCCTGTCAAGTAAAAAGAAGCCAGAGATTAAACTCGACTCTTTCCCCCTGTTTTCTCACATATGTAATCTTCTGATTGCCTGAAACATGCATCTCTCACTATGATCACCAGCTTCTCTCTTTACAGCATAAAACTGTATTTACAGTGCAGTCAGGTAACACGAGAGCACAGAGTGCCTCTTACCGATGAGGCCTCCGGGAGCAGCGTACTGCAGATCGTTGTGCTCGGCGAACAGAGAGACGATCTTTGAGAAGATGGGTTTGCACATCAGCTTTCCCTCCTGGTCTTTGGACACAATACCTGGCCGCACCTCGATCTCCTGACCCACCTGGACACGCAGAGAAAGGCAGAGCAGAGTAAGGCGTTTGTGACTTCACACTGCTTCAAATCACCAATAATGTACTGATAAATACACTCTTACCTTGAGTACACCCTTAAGGATACTTCCTCCGGCCACACCTCCTTTCAGGTCGTCGACCTCACAGCCGGGTTTGTTCACATCAAAGGATCGAATGACTGAAACACAAAACACAGAACATTAAAACAAAACTCTAAACACTTACATAAAAGAATCAATGTTTGTGTTTTTACTCGTCTTACCGATGAGTCTGGGCTCGGATGTGAAATCTCTGATGGGCACGGGGATCTTTTTGACAATGTACTCACAAACCACCTCGATGTTGTACTTCAGCTGGGCTGAGATGGGAATGATGGGAGCGCCCTCGGCCACTGTGCCTGCAGGAGGAACATTAAAAGCATTTTCACTTCAGAGTTCATCTAATTGTGTTTTTGCTGCAGAGCGCTGCGTGGCATGGGAGTTTCAAAAGGGGCAACGAGCAGCAACGGAAAGAAAACCCTCAAACACACAAAAAATAAATAAATCCTTCATTTGGTCTTTCAAACCTTAAATGGGAGTGAAACTTAACTTAAAAAAATATATATCTTTGACATATTTGCATGTACAACAGAACTAACGCACGGTTTGGACAGTGTAAACCCTGCTTAAATAACCCTGGTTAAATAAAGCGTTTAAAGCTCCAGTGGGTCATATTCTGAGTGCAAGGTTGTATCATTTTAACTTTTTAATTATTCTATCATAACAACCACACATGCATGCATGTTATATTAAAGGTTGCAGTGTTTCCTGGTGCTTTAAGTGACATTTCCTTTCCAGAAGTTAAAGTCTGGGAAACAACGGTGGTAAAATACGAAGGCTGAGTTGAGTAAAACTGCTAAACCGTCACACCTGAAATTCTAGAAATGGGCTACAAAATCTTTAAAGGGCTGACTCACCCTGCACGAAGGCCAGGATCTGCTCATACTGCTCTTTAGCCTGGCTCTCCTTCACCAGGTCAATCTTGTTCTGCAGGATGAGGATGTGCTTCAGCTTCATGATTTCAATGGCGGCCAGATGCTCTGATGTCTGGGGCTGGGGACACGACTCATTCCCAGCTGGCAGTTGAAGAGGACACAAAAACACAACGAGACAATTTTAATGTTTGGAGTCAGAGATGAGCACGATGCTGACTTTCTAATGTCATTAATCCTGGTAAAAGCATGGTCTGTTATATCCACCTCCTCTTTATCTGAACAAGGATAAGTTACCTGATTAGAGCCACTACAAAGCCAATTAAGGGGAAATGTGACAGTGCAATAAAGACGAAACACTCTTTCGTAACACCTCAGCTTAATCAAAGTTTTCAGAGACCCACCAATCAGCAGGAGAGCTGCATCCATAACGGCTGCTCCGTTCAACATAGTTGCCATCAAAATGTCGTGACCGGGACAGTCCACGAACGACACATGTCTGTGAGGAAGAAGACAGCCAACAGTCACCTTCATTTTCCCTCATTTACTTTATTTCTATTGTGCTCAAACATTCAATTTCTTCTCCAGAACAGAAAAGATCCCGAAAACATTTAGTTCACCATCAAAAAGTTGTTTTTTTGTTTGAGGATTCAGAGGTTCAGCCTCTGCATTAATGATAAAATGCTTTGCCTGTTCAGGTCTTACCTGACCAGTTTGAAGTTGCCCTTGGTGCCAGTGATGTCTGTGGGAAACTCGTCTGGAGTGCTGCTGCCACATGACCTGTAGCACTCTGGCCGGGGACAGCTGGGATCATCCAGCTTGTAGACCTACGACGTGTGGAAGAGAAGCAAAAACGTGAACTCCTCATCAGCATCTGTAAACCAGCGTTCATTCAGGGGGGGGCAGAGCTACGTTTGAGATATTCAGCACACACAGCAGCTGCAGTCGGCAGTTTTTATTGTGTTTAGCGCTCAGTTTGACTACAAATACGATCTTTGTTTTGACTTCTTCTCTGTGACTCAAGCTCAAAGCTCAAAGGAACAACAACAGCACAACCAACAGTTCTTCCATGTTCTACGCTGCCCCCTGGTGTCAACATGTAGAGAAACCTCTGGAAACCAAAATCAGCAAAATTATAAAGCAGAAAATTTCATCAGGGTGTCATTTGCTTACGCATATTTAGCATTTATACTATTTACACCTAGATGTTTTCCAGATAAGCAAACTAACACTCCATGATTGAGCTGATCATTGATCAGGTTTAAGCATTACTCACACAGACCTAGATATCAGCTGGCAAAGGCCTCTGAATGAGCCAGAAGTTTGATTTCATACAGAATCTCATCATTTTAACTGAGTAAAACAAAGCAGTTCTTTCAAAGATGGTGTTAGACTTTGAGTAAATGGCTTTAATCACTCCCAACCTGGAGAAACTGGAACCCACAATCTGCATTCTTACAGGCTTTCTCTTATCACAGACATTTTATGCAAATGCACTGTTCCCTGTGGAAACAATTTGGATTGACAATAAAGTTAAATGTGTTTGTATTTGTCGCCTGTAGACGGGGAAGTTCACGTTTTAAAGAGTAAATCCTGAACGTACAAACTTCCACTGCTCTTTAATCTCAAACACTGAGGTCCAAAAATAACACAAACATCTGAGAAAATACACTCCCTCACCTTAGCATTGGCATATCCAAGCTTGATGGTGATGTTCCTCTCCAGCTCATTCTTGAACCTGACGGTGTGCACGCCAGAAATAGCTTTCACTACTGTGGACTTTCCGTGGGCCACATGACCGATGGTGCCTAAGAGAGAAGAAGGCGGAGGTCAAAACCTCTATCAAACTCTACAAAGACATCGAATCCGATCAGCTGTCTCCCATACCGATATTGATGGTGGCCTGTCTGCTGATGATCTCCGGAGAGAGAGGCGTCAAGGTCGACACGTCCTGACAAAGAGAACAATTCAGATTAATGACTCGTCATGCCAGGACCCACTGCATCAGAGCGAGCGGCGTGCTTAATCCCAAAGAACAACGAGCAGCTCACAGGCGGAAACAAAACCACCCGGGATGGTTCTCATAAAGCAACACAGAACAGCAACAATCCCTCAAGTACTCTAGTTTACCAACATTATAACAGAAATCACTGGGAATTTTATTGCAGGAGTGTCTAAAGAAGCAAAGTTTCAGGTGATGACTGTGTCTGGTAACAAAAGAGTTTGATGGCGACTACAATGTGTGAAGAGCATAAAACAGGACTATTTTAATGGACCAGGCCCTGATCACAGTTAAACAATAAGGTTTTGTTTCCCTTGTAGGACACATGCAGCACTACACGCAGTGTTTTTGTTCTCATCTCGGTAAGTCACAACTAACGAGAACTTATGTTGAACAAAGACTAGTGTTATTTAGTATAAACACGCGAAAAACACGCTGAAAGTCGTATCTTTGACCCACATCTTTTGGTACCAATTTCCATTTATATAAAAGGTGAGAATATGAGCTATAACAATATAAATCCAATGAGTTAGAATGAAAGCTTTACAAGCTCAGTGATGGTCTCTTTTTACAGCTTGGACTAACAAGAAGGATGTAAGCTTATAAAGGTGTTTTTATGCCGAACTAAACATTAAGAACCATTTTCTAGATTCTAGCAAAGATGGAGCTAACTCCGTGGAGCTAACTAAAATTAAACCGGGATAAACAGGCTTCAATAACGCTGATAACTATGAATATCAAGTAAGTCTTTCAACGTGTGAATCGTGTTAAATGTGGCTGAAATAACGCTGTATTTCGGGCTGGAAGTGCAACGGGTCTGAGCTTTCCGCCCAGCCTGGGCCCTTGCGTCATGTGCCGGGTGGCGCAGCACCGGTATCCGTTACTATTCTCCCGGCCTTCTGTGACCGTTTTACCGAAACAACGGGCCACCGGCAGCCGTCAACGTAAAACCACACTGTTGTAAGCACGATATACATACACTTACCAGAGTACTGAGGTCCTGTTTGGCCAAGTGAGGCTGACCGAGCGTTGTGCCTGACTCGTCGCCCGCCATCTTGAAAGAAAAGGGAATGAATAAGGAGGCCCGGCCGAATGCCTGATCTATCGATTAAACCTGCACTCCTCCTCGCCTAAAATGTTTTCAGACAAACTAAATTTTACTGCCTGGAAGATTTTATTACAGCTTTAGAAGAAGGTTTTTTTTAGCGGTAACTTCCAGGTATAATTGTAAACTTAAGCGATCCGCCCAAGTAAAAGTGTAGTTGGGTCCTTTCTCGAGGGCTGATGCAACAACCGGAGCGGCTCTCAGTTTCTGCTGTAAATTTAAACCAGTTTAATAACCGCACACTGCTGCTGTTCGTATCTCATTAACAGCTGCTCATCAAGGAAACAGACATGCGTCCCAAATTTATAGTCCTCTTTTAAGAAAGAAGTGTACGTTCATCCATGTGACGGGTCCGTCGCGATTTAGTTACGTCATCTGACTAACTTTCTGTAGTTCTGGCTGTTTGGTCTATCTGAGTAGGATTACTATTATTTTATAGTAGTTCGGTTAAGTTAAAAAAAAACGCCATAAAGCCTGATATGGGGAGACGTTAGTTAGGCTATAGCAATTATGTACCCAGATTTCAGGAGTGGAGAATAGATTTGTAGTCCGTCACATCTGTGCAGTGGCAGCCATCCTGTTCAGCCTTGTTTAGAGTGACAGTGTGAATCCTGTAAATAACATTCATATCAATATGTTCTGTTTAGGATGTCCGCTGGCATTTTTAAGTGTCCTATTGGAAAACACACAACGCCTCAGTGAAGTACATGAAAAACTACTCTGTGAAAAATAACTTTTGTTTTTCCAGCTAACTTCACTATTTGCTCCCTCATTTCTCCTGTTCATGTACAACCTCTCTTTCCTCTCTCTCCGTCCTCCTCACTCAACTAGAAAATAACAAAAATATATTCCTATAAAATTATTATAAGACACGCCTGTTTCTATTTGCTCTCTCTCTCTGGTGTCTTCATTCCTGCTCTCCATTTGAGTCAAAGTGTGTTTTAAATCTGCATCACTGATTTGTGTCATTAAATTAGATCTGCTCTTTCTGCCCCAACAACAAAGTCTTATTTAAGCGATCAAATATTAGTACTGTTAATATAGTTATTGTCGACGCTCTGAACTCGTCTACGGCCCAGATTCGGTGCACATGTATGTGCAGATTCCTGTGTGATAGATAAAACGCTGTGATTAAAGCCATTCACAGAGTGGATTCCCCACTCTGCGTGAATGGTACTCGTGGTCATTGATCAACGGTCATCATAATTTATATGTTAACGATGATGAAACTGACACCAAGTTTCAGTCCTTATGCAGATGCACCGAAGAAGTCACGCTGATGAGTGAAAACACGACGTCCAGATGAACAAAGTGAACTTTCTGGGAATTCTTTACCTGGATGATTGAGGACTAACCATTTGTACATTTATGTGAGTGCATTATTCATGTGAAAGTGTGTAGCGTAGTTATTTTCAATAACTTTGGGGCTGTTTAGCATCTCTTTAAAGACAAAATCCTTTTAAGTGTTTTTGTGCTTTTTTCTCTTCGTGCGTGGTTTGAGTAAGTTAGCCATCATCGCAAACCGGCTATGTTTAGGGATTTTTTTCTTTCTCGTTGGAGTGATTCCTCTTGGTAAATACACGATCTTTGATGCAGCGCCGCACTACGCCCTTCAGTTCCGCCCAAAAGGGAAATGACGCCGGTGCAGAAAATGGCGTCCGCAGAGCCTGTGGTCCGCTGTGGCTTTTTACCCGTTTAATTTAGCTCCGTGTGGGGGGTCTGTGCGATTGGCAGATGGACGCTGATGCCAACATGGCAGTGCAACGCTGCCACCCGCTTTCTTGATCTCGGAATCGAACTCGCAACTTGATGTCCGACGGAGCCAGAGCTGGCTGGCCGAAGAGGGGTTGTGGAGATTCGCACCGCCGAGGTGAGACGGCTGGATTCAGGCTAAGCTAAAGCGGCTCCGCCGGTCTAAGCAGCTGTCGGAGCCCCTGTAGCTCCAACTCGGAGTCGTGACAGCGAGTTTAGCCAAACACGGAGCGAAATATCCGCTCAGTTTGCGACGGTTTCCTCCTTTATCTTCCACAAATGTACGCCGCCATGTTCCGTCAGTACAGCCGAGTGTGGGGACCGTTATCCGCCAGGGTTAGCCTTTGTTTTGGCGCTCCAGTCGCGGCTCGGAGCAAGCTGTCCCCCCGCTGCTGTTTGAAGAAGTAAACACGGCAACCGAGGGCAGTTTAAACCGCGTGTTGGTGCAGATTTAACACGTTAGCGGGAGGCTTATTTTGGTGACAAGTGTGCGGATGTTTTCTTTTTCACCTGGAGGCAGACCCAGGTGAGGTTAGCCACCGGGTGAGAGAGATGAAAACGAGGCTAGACCGATTCAGCGAGCTGCTTTCTGTTGCCTACATCCCGTTTTCCCTGAAAGCAGTGCTGACAGGACTAATCAGCTATGGTCCCAAACAAGCTTAAACAAAGCCTCAACTTTCGTTAACAATTTAGCCTTAACACACATTTCCAGCTCCGCTAGAGTAGCTTAGCATGATCCTCATTTCTCAGAGGCGGAAGACATTTGGCATATTCACAAAAGCATTGATATAATAAAAAATCTCAATCTTCATAATTAAAACATCTCAAACTGGGACACGCACGCACACGTGGGACCTGACTTGGAGAGCAGGTCGAGAAGAAACACCTCACACAGACTAATGTATCTGTTCAGTACTTGTCGCTTTAACGTTGGATTTTCCTTTAAATTGTCACAGGTGAAACTCTTACCAAAGAGCCAGTAAATTAAATATTCATGTAAACTGCAGAGGATGTGTGTTTTACAGCACTTCTGTGCACGAGAGCTGTGATTTACAAGCCCCTGAACGCACCGTGGACTGTTTGATGGGTATCCTCTTCATCTAAGCCTTCTTTGTCTCTGAGAGCATCTTTTTCTGTCTCCCGTCAGAACCAGGCAAGCACAAACACAGGAAATGCGAGCGGCCCCTTAGCGCTCAGCCGTCGAAGCCTGTGATTGTTCGCCCGGGCTCCAAAAGGTACGTCAAACACGCAGAACTGCACCATAAATATACTTTTTTATCTCCACGCTGCCCTCCTCCAGACCATCTGCCTCATTTTGGCTGCTGAGTTTTAGGATGTGATGGGGGAAGGGCGAGGGGTCAAAGGTTAAAGTCTTGGCTCCTTAAATTTAGCTATGATACCAGTGATTTTTAATGCTTTAGAAGTAATAGAAGTTATTCTATCACATTTATTTCCACTTCTTCATGTACAGATGATGAAAAAATAACAATACTTGTAGTTAACTGAAATACCGAACTTAAATCGCTAGTAATGGTGATTCGATGGGTTATTTCCCACGTTTCTTTCCCATACACGCTGTTATTCCTGCTTCCATCTCCTACAAAAGTAACCTTCAGTTTTCTTTGTCCTTCCCATATTTTGAATCTCTTCCACGTCTCATTTTCGTTTGTTTCTTAAGTATTGGTGTTTAATTAGATCTTTATTTTGGTTGTTAAATTCCAGTTTATTACAGTCTGGGTGGTTTTAAATTCAGGGGTTATTTTGGTTTCATCTCTTGAAAACAGTAACTTTATATCTGACCCCAGAGTCTGAGCTTTTACCATCTGTCTTCAAATAGGGGGAAAGAACACAATCTCATATTTAGACTGAAGTTCGGACCCAAAAAGCTACATCAGGGTATCGTATGATTTCGCTGTGCGTCAGCAGCAGGAGAGCTGACGTAGCTAAAAGCAGCATCAGTTTGGAGGGATTTCTCTTCTCCTGTTCGGTCTGTGAGGAGGTCGCATGTAGTGAAACTGAGAGCAGAGGAAGTAGAAACGGGCACGGTGTTCATCACTAGTTAACTAGACCTTTAAAAGGTGATGCTCTTGCTAGCTGGAGGTGCTGGCCTCGTACCGTGATTGTTGTCATGAAGTTATCAGAGTCTGACAGCAAAATCTTGAAGGATAATCAGCAGGTAACCAACAGAATCCTAAATGCAACTGATTTCCATGCCAGCCTGTTCCTGAGGTGGATAACCTCCAAGATTTCCCCCCAAAAAAACAAAATGCAGGCTGTAATAAACTGGAATCCTCTTTTAATCCCACCATCAGTTTACCTCCATTCAACTTTTATTTATATTTTTTGTATCATGATGAGTAAACGCACTGGGTTGATCATGTATATGAACACTAAACTGCTGAAATGAGACAAAGCATGCGGATGTTTTCTGATTGTAAATCACATGTTTCTGGTGGAAGTTTGCAGGCGTTCACGCTTTAATTGTGTTGGCTTTGTCGTCCAGGTGATTGACGCTCAGAAAAGGGACTTTGTTAGCATCTGCTGGACACAAGGGGCACTGTCCTCTGATTGGCTCGGACAACCCCCTCTGACATGCCCGTGGCCAATCAGAGGTGAGTGTGCTGCGTGTGTGTTTACGTTCTCGGTGAGCACGTGTGAGTTTCTGTGTGTTTGTGTTGTGCGTGCCTCGTGTGAAGGGTTTTCTCTCTTCTCCGTCAGCTGGTGTGTTGCAGTTGGTGCGCGGCGGCTGAAGTGCAAAGCTTTTTAACATCCCTTTAAACGACCTTCCAGCTCCTCGCTTACTGTTTCTCAGCACCTTTGTGTCCTTGGAGAGACGTCTCTTCTCTGTGTGTTCAGTTGATTTTCGTGTGGTTGTCATTTCCTCACGGTTCATCCCTTTCTCCTCGTTCACGCTTCTCTTCTGGCTCGCTCGCGCCTTCAGGTGTGTTATGTCGGGGGCGGATGTGGAGGTGTACCTGTCTCAGGTGCACGATGGGAGCGTGTCGTCGGGCTTCAGGGCGCTGTACGAGGAGCGTCTGCTGCTGGACGTCACGCTATTGATCGAGGAGCACCACTTCCAGGTACGCAACTACGGCACATGCCACACAATGGTCCATTTGAAGGATGACTCTAGGTTTGGCCTTTCTCCTCCTTTGACCCTGTTTGGTTTGCTCCTCCCACTTTCAGGCCCACAAGGCGCTGCTGGCCACCCAGAGCGACTACTTCCGGGTCATGTTCACGGCAGACATGAGGGAGCGGGACCAGGACAAGATCCACATGAAGGGGCTGACGGCTGCTGGGTTCGGCCACATTCTCCGCTTCATGTACTACGGCTCGCTGGAGCTCAGCATGCCCACGGTGCAGGAGATCCTGCAGGTAACTCGCGCAGTTCAACGGAGCTCCTTGTGAGCCTCAAAATTCAATCCGCAGTCGCTTTAAGAACGCGTCTTCCTCTCCCCGCAGGCGGCCATGTACGTCCAGCTGACGGAGGCGGTGGAGTTCTGCTGCTCCTTCCTGCTGGCTAAGATCTGCCTTGAGAACTGCGCCGAGGTCATGCGTCTCCTGGAGGACTTCAGCGTGGGCGTGGAGGGCGTCCAGGAGCAGCTCGACAACTTCCTGCTCGAAAACTTTGTCCCACTCATGAGCCGACCCGACTTCCTGTCCTACCTCAGCCTCGAGAGACTGCAGGTTTGATTAAACGAGCGCAGATTTTAACTATAAATGCAAAACGTGCTTGTATGTCGCGCTTTCTTTGTTATGAAGTCTGAGGAAAAGTTGTTAAAGCGACAGTTTAGAGTCAGTTTGACAAAGAAAGACGTTTCTAAACTGATAAAATGATCGACTATAATCTTTATTTATAGAAAGATTCTGGAACTAAACTGTTTTACTTCTTTCTGATTTAAAAAACTCATCTGAAAATGTGTGTTTACTCTTCTTAATTTGCACTCCTGTGCAGGCATCCTCACACCTTTAATAGGAGCGTGTTTTATTGACAGTCCTGGGCTGTGTCTGACTCCCGGTGTGTGTTTTAAAGAAAAATGCAAATACATTAGTGAGGTTCAAATAGCCCAGACTGCAAGAGAAATGTTTCCCGGGGGGTTCAGGAAAAAGCGATGAGCAAATTAAAGGCACATTTGCTGTTCTCAGTACTCATAAAGTGCATTTTATGCAGCAGCTGTCAGTAAATATCAACGAGAGAGTTTAGCGGTTTCATGGTGGATAAATCTCACCGTTAAAGTCAAACTAATCCAAAGTAAAGCCTCCACGGTCCTGTTTAAGTCCTTTTTTAACCTTCTCGTTCCTGTTATGTGTTAATTCGTGCAGATGTCAGTAAAGTCATGTAGCCAGCTTTAATAAGGAGGTGGAAACATAACCTGAATTCATTCCTATGAAGTGTTAGTTAATCTGAGACAAAGCAGCAAACACAGAGTGTGCAGCTGTGATCACAGCCTCTCTGTGAGCTGACGGTGCAGAGACGTATGTGGAGAATAAGAAGTTCTCCCTGAGAGACAGAGGAGGTGTAAGAGACGGGAGAGGAAGATTATTACTTTGAGATGTAGCAGCTGCTCAGTGACATTTGATAGGATAGAAATTTAAAGCTTACGTGTAATCGTAGGTTTAGACCTGCAGCGACTCGGGCACATGCACAGGTCTCTGATGGGATGGATTTTCTGTTTTGGGAGTAATATTTTGTTGAAAATGCTCCAGAGATGCCTTAATGTTTTCTGCTGTATTGCATTTTCTTATCTGCACTGTTTTCTCTAGTTGCTGTGGATTGATCTCTTGTGGTCTCTGTAGTGTTTGTGGAAGTTGCAGTGGCAACAAACCTGCTCTGCCCCTCTTTGTCTGATCCAGGCGTACTTGAACAGCGACGCTCTGAGTCGCTTCCCAGAAATCGAGCTGTACGAAGCAGTGCAGGCGTGGCTGCGGCACGACCGGCGGCGCTGGAGGCACACGGACACCATCGTGCAGTCCATCCGCTTCTGTCTCATGACCCCGGCCAACATCTTTGAGAAGGTGAGCGCTGCTTTCTGACCGACGTAAATGGGGGCGGTCGCCTTCATTTTTTGAGCTTCGTTGGCTCGACGCAGGTCACCGTAGCAACGTTAAGCCTACAGCCAGCCCCATAATTCGCAGCTTTCCTCCACTCAGGTGAAGACGTCGGAGTTCTACCGTTACTCCAGGCAGCTGCGGCAGGAGGTCGATCAGGCTCTCAGCTACTTTCATGATGTCAACCAGCAGCCTCTGGTGGAGACGCGCTCCAACCGCATCCGCTCCGTCCGCCCGCAGACGGCCGTGTTCAGGGGAATGATTGGCCACAGCATGGTCAACAGCAAGATCCTCCTGCTGCAGCGTCCAAAGGTAGCCGCTCGTTTACGTACATGGAAATTGGCTACATGCTTGTACCTTTTTGTGTGCTTCCTGTCTGACACGTCTATCTTGCCTCCCTTTCTGAGCGCTCCTCGTCCCATCGGCTGTTGGGGAGAATATCTCCGAGTTGCCTCGCTGAGCCTGTAATCCTCCTTTAAAGTTCAGGATGGAGTGTTTGGATCTAACTGGTTACCTGTGTCTCAGGTGTGGTGGGAGCTGGAGGGACCTCAGGTGCCGCTGCGACCCGACTGCCTGGCCATCGTCAACAACTTCGCCTTCCTGCTGGGCGGAGAGGAGCTGGGGCCCGACGGTGAATTTCACGCCTCCTCTAAAGTGTACCGCTACGACCCTCGACAGAACTCGTGGCTACGCATGGCGGACATGTCTGTGCCCAGGTGAGAGAAGCCCGAGGTCATGGCTGCATAGTGAAGAGCTGATTTCCTCGCCGACCTTCTTCTGAGTTGTTTGTTTGTCGTTCGCAGGTCAGAGTTCGCCGTGGGCGTCATTGGAAAGTTTATTTATGCCGTGGCGGGCCGCACGCGAGACGAGACCTTCTACTCCACGGAGCGATACGACATCACAGAGGACCGCTGGGAGTTTGTGGACCCGTACCCCGTCAACAAGTACGGCCACGAGGGAACCGTCCTGAACGGGAAACTGTACATCACGGGCGGCATCACCTCCTCCTCCACCTCCAAACAGGTGTGCGTGTTCGATCCGGGCCGGGAAGCAGGAGGTGGGGGCGGAGGGGGGAGCGCGGGCGGGTCGGACTCACACAGGACACGCGCTGGCCGCGGCCCGCTGCTGCCCGGCACCCACGCCAGCTGCTGGGAGAACAAATCTAAAATGAACTACGCCCGCTGCTTCCACAAGATGATCTCTCACAACGGGAAGCTGTACGTGTTCGGAGGCGTGTGCGTGATCCTGCGGGCGTCCTTCGAGTCGCAGGGCTGCCCGTCCACGGAGGTGTACAACCCAGAGACTGACGAGTGGACCATCCTCGCCTCCATGCCCATCGGGCGCAGCGGTCACGGGGTGGCGGTGCTGGACAGGCAGATCATGGTGCTGGGCGGTCTGTGTTACAACGGCCATTACAGTGACTCCATCCTCACATTCGACCCTGAGGAAAACAAGTGGAAGGAGGACGAGTATCCCAGGATGCCTTGCAAACTGGACGGTCTGCAGGTGTGCAGTCTGCACTTCCCAGAGTACGTGCTAGAGCATGTGAGACGCTGCAGCTGAGGTCTGCTCCACCGCACGCCTCCTTTTATAGAAACGCACCGTCACGGACTGAAGTTTCCTGCTGAGGGGAGGGGGGGGCGGGATCAGGTGTTTACAGGTGGGAGACTACAGGCTTTTAAACTGGAGACCAGCACTTACCTTAAGGTGAGGAAAATGGCTGGGGCCATAGCGTTGCTCTTCCTAAACGAAGGAAGCAGCAGTCAAAGCGTGGCGCGTGAGACGCCACCCGTGAACATTTTTAGCTTTCTCAGAAAATACAGGAAAAAGTAATCGTTTGGAGGAAAGAAAAATGGTTTCATTCTGCCGCTTTATGTTCGGACTATGGTCAGCTTCCTGTTCTACTTCTCACCTTCTGTATTTAGGCGCTCCGGTCAGGCTTACCGCAGAAACGCACTGGAAGCGCCCGATTCTGATGCACCAGTCGAACAGACCTGCACCACAAATCCTACTTGAATTAGGTTCATTTCTTTTGAAGCCATCTGTTAGTGAGTGATTATATCAAACACTGGAAAATGCCCAATAAATATATAACAACAAACATACAGTCGGGTATAGAAACAAGATGTAACACTGTATACACTGTAGTGTAGTCATTTTAGAGCCTCTCCAAATATACAACTGTCGACGCTTTAACCTGCTAACGGCTATCAGCTGTTATGAATTCGCTTCCAGTGCGTTCCAGCTTTCAGTCCTAATTCAGCTCTTTGCTCCCAGATATCATCAAACTACGCTCATGTTCATCCAGCACAGCATCACTGTCCTCCTCTTCCTTCCTCTGTCTCACAGTTTGAGAGTAAATGTATCCTGACAGTGATGATGATGATGATGGACTCACACAGCTTTATTCACTCTCATCTACATTCCCTGCACTTTATTGGTTGTTATTGTGTGTAAATGCACAATTTTCCCCTCCCAGCGGCTGAATGTGCTGTAATGCTGGAGACGCGTGTCTGAAATGAACTTTATGGCTGACAAGTCAAGACTGACTAAAAGAGTTGAAACATTTGAGAAACAATGGACCTCATGCAAGAACATTTTAATGCATTATGCTGATGATAAAGGACCAGAAACGATTATAAAACCATTAACCAGAGTGATGTTGTCAGAAGTACTGTTAGCTGTATGAAAAATGAGTTTTGAGGCTGAATATCAAACTCTAAAGTAGTTTTCTTGTTAAGCATAAAAAGTGACATAATTGTACCCACTCAACATTTAAAATGAAGACAGTGCACCCTGTCTTAGAACAATATTCCATTTTAACCTCTTTGAGAAACAATAGCTTGTTTATTACCCTTACAGCCACTTAGCAAATACATTTGAATATATGACTTAAGGGTCACATGAAATTTCTTAATGCTGTTGAGATCTGCTAAGCTTACTGGTATAACTACAATCCGGTTTAGCTAAGGCTAGCTCTGATAATATTAGCTGGTGCATCAGCACCTAGCATTATATCCTACTGAGTTAAGTAGTACATTTAACTATTGTTTTGTAATGCATATTACAGTTGCATCATTGGTGATTTTAAAGACACTTTAAATTACAACTTGCATGAAAATACCAAAAATAAGAGAATATCTATTCACATTTATGCAAACTAGCATTAGCCACAGTTTGACTGACTTTTATCTCTTTCTGTTCTAAACTGGTTTAGCTGCAGTCAAATGATCTTTAAACTCATTAAAATGAATGGTAATTTCCAGATGACAAACAGGACAATATTTATACCTATCTCTATTCAGGCTTTAAGGTTAGCTGCTATTACAACAGCAGCTAGCTTTTTACTGTTTAAGCCCCCAACCTTAGCAGTGCTAACTACCTAGTTAACCATCTATGGAACCTACTAAAAGCTGCTTAGTTAGCTGGTGTTCGCAGGAGTTTAGCTCCTTTAACTTTATTATGAACTTATTAAAATGGTCTCTGTAACATATCAAACTGAACAACCAAAATGTTAGTCTTATAAATTTACAGACAGCAACACAGGGTTTTAACTTTAGCTAAGATTAGCCTTGGCTATCTGAAGATGGCCATCTGCCTTTGGCTCTCTAATTGGTTTTCTTTCCAAAGCTGTAAATGTATTTATCACTTACAGTGGGGGGGGGAAAGTAGTTTAAGAAAGATGAACCATAACAATAAGTCCAAAAGTAAATTTTCTGTTTTACAGCATTGCCAAGCTAATTGGTGTTAGCTTGAAGACATGGTTTGTTTCAATTGTGTCATTTCTATGGAAGGTTGTTTCTACAACTTGAAGGGAGAAAATCCTATAAAAATGAATATAAATCTGTATTTTTGGTCATCGCAAAACTTACTGAATATTTATACTTAAATCTTCAAGTTTGGTATCACAAAAATTTTGACTTGCTTAAAAGTAACTTAATGTCTAACTTGGACATTTAGACAAAATTTCAAGATGCTGAAGTGAAATTTTGTTGCAAGTTGAAATTTTTACTTTGTTCAATCCGGCAGCTTCTTGTTTTGTTTGTTTGTTTTTTCTTTTTTTCAGGGGTGAAAATAAGCTTCCATAGATTGCACATCTCACAATGAAATACAGAAGTAGTAAAATATATTGTTATATTTAAATATTTATAATTAATAAAAAAAGATCTTTACGTGAAAGTAGCTGTGGCTAACTCAGACTCTAACTGTAGCTTTGTAGTTACTATGCTTTTGTTTATAATCTATTCCATGAAATTGAGGTAGCAATGACCACAAAGGGAAAAATAGATGGCAGCCATGATGGCTACCCTTATCAGGAGTTTAGCTAAATCTTAACAGTAAGACTTAGCTTTAGCATTAGTAAGGTGACCCATGGCTTTTTCAGCAGCTAGCTTTCTCCTGAGTTTAGCAATCTGGTTTGCTGCAAAAATACACTTTTTCTAGCCGTTTGTTGTACATGTAAATTTAAAAAGCTATTTTCTTAACAAAGGACACGCTTATATTGCACATTTTTGTATATACAATGAAAAAGATCAAATCAAAACCGTGACAGCTGATCATATATGTATTTAATGTCTTGATTTACTGTTCGCACCCCAAAGATTCTTTCAAATCTGCTTCTATTCGTATTAGAGGTTCTTGCTTCAGGTTCATTGCTTCTTTGGTTGGTTTACACACTTCATATTTTATCTCTACAGACAAGATCTGTGTTTCAATGTAAGCTGCAAACACTGGAGGTCAGTATAACCAAAGCATTAAGCTGAAAGGAATCAAACAGTTACCAGCCAGTGTTTAAATGACTTGCACCAGTGGTGTGTTCATTTCAGACATTAAAGTTTCGCCTTCCCCAGCTGATGCAAACTCCGTCTTTGTAGCTTGCGCGTCTCAGCAGTGGGACGCCTCGATCCTGCAGCCCAGTAAGCCGTGCTCGATGACCAGCTCCGTGCTTGTATTGTTTTTATTTTTGTCTTTTTTTGTTTTCATGAGCCAACTGTGAAAAAGGGCTAGAGCACACACTGATGCAGTTTTGTCTGTTAGCTGTATATTTAAGTTATTTATTTTCTACAGGTATTGCTTTTCACTGAGCTATGCAGTAACAGTTGTAGGATTATTTATTATGACGAGACTTCATCATAAGTCGTGTTGTTTTCAGGTCGTACCTCATCGTCTGTCCTTATTTCATACTCGGGCCGTCTGTCTTCTCTGCATGTGGCTCATCGACGGATGCTTTGAGAGGTTTTTCTTTCAGTCTTAAGGCGTACTTTAAGTATTGCAGCACCTTTGCATTTTCCTGTATGAAAGTTCTCAGAGTGTCATACTTCGCGTTCCTCTTCTTGTAGCAGCGTCAGGCTGTCCACAAATCTCTCGAGTCCTGAGCTGCAGCTTTAACAGCGTCTCTGCAAAGCCGCTTTGGTTTCTTTGGTGGGGACATAATCCCCAAATGGTTGAAAATCTTCCCCCACCTACACGCCTCTGCAGCAGGTGAGAGGCATGTCCCTGCAGTAGATAATTTGCGTCGCATTTCATCTCTTTGTTGACATTTCAAAAGCTTGAGTCAGCAGATTTAGGACATTTTGCTGCAGAGGTTAATGTTTTGTTTTTTTAATCAGCTAAACGTTGCAGCCATATCTCTACCAACAAGTCATTTAACAACTGATTTGGACACTTTAACCCAGTCAAACTCCTATAAAAATTGAAGTTGAAGACCAAACAATAACACAAAATAAACTTTTTTTTTTGCTTTTAAGTTCTGTGAACAGTTCAGTGCTTCAGATCTGTTTTAAAACTCTTGTGCTCTCTTTACTTTAGCTCAGCGCTTCTCAAACTGTGGGGCAGGCCCCACTGATGGGCCACAGAGACACCGCATGAAGGGCAAGGATGATGAGAAGCAAAATAGGAAGTGATTCTAAGCTGAATAAAATGTTTTTTGTAAGCAAATAAAACGGCGTAGATTGATTGAAATTCAAATTGGGTCCCTTTCTACTGTTAGTGATTTTAAGGACCTCCTAAATTTAAGTGCATGGTTCTGCTGTCTTAACTGAGGCAGGAAAATGAATCTCTTCATTAACTGCTCCTCCCTTCACATCTCCTCCGTGTCCCTATACTCTGCAGCTGATACCTTAAACGTCATGTGCCACTGCAGTCCGCTCGCTGCTCTTCCTCTTCTTCCTCCTTCTCTCATGTCGCCATTTGAAGAAGAAACTTGTAACCAATAAAGTACTACTGTCCCAATTCGAGGCACATCCAGTCATAGCGCAGCATCCTTTAGTCCACCAGTCTGTCAGTAGGAAAACAGAGTAGAGGATTAAAAAAAGGCATACCTTGCTACAACGACTGTATCTGAAAAAGAAAGTAAAATCAGATTAACATATCTTATAATCTGAGTAGAAACTCTTTGGAAATGATTTGTAACTTCTTTCCAGAAATAAATGTTCATATTGGTCAACTTTCACCTGCATTTGTGCTTTTCTGACTCTGTTTACTTTGTCTACATGACATTTCCCCCATTACAGATTAATGAAGCCAGTTGAAGAATGAAAATGAATTAAAACCTGCATGCAGGTTTATTATAATTATTATAAAAATCCATACAATATGCAAATATCAGCTGATATTTGTATGTACACAATTATGACTGAAGTTGTTTATTTACTTTACAATGTTACAGCTGAGACTGACAGAAAAAAATAGATGTAAATAAATGTGATTATTAAAATATATCACAACATAAAATTAGGAACTAACTGGAGAAGTGGGCGTCCCAGAAGCTCAACCTGTATCAGTCCTTGAGATAAGTTTAGTATTTTACCCCCACTTGTTATTTATCTTGAAGACGTTCTATATTTTTAGTTCAACACATAAGGACAGAAAGTAAGAGACTTGGGTGGAGTGAGCTTATCGAGTGCTGGCACCTGCTGAGATGCGTGTTTCCCTGATTCCCCCACCCATTAATATTTTATTTTGTTTAGTTTTTTACATTATTACTTTTAAATGTTATTTTGGTTTTACTTCTATTTTATTCGATTTTATTGTACCTATATTAATTAAAATATTTTTAATATGTTTATGTCGATCTTAGGCTCCTGGAGCATTACGCATGCGCCTCTTTCCTTGCCACTCCTCTGGCTTGCCGTAGAAAAGCGAAAGTCATCCAATAAGGAGCATGTCATATGCTAGATTGGTGAGTTTTATTCATTGTGTTCATCGTTTGTCACATGTAAAGTCATCTCGTTTTAAGTACTGGCTCTATGTTGTCGAAACTTGAGGTTTTAAAAACAAAACGACAATGAAAAGTCAGTTAAACGATGCTAGGCTAATTGAAAGCTAACCTTAGCATTGTGTTAGCTCCTCCGTATAAACAAACAGCCATTAATCATGAGGAGACACCGAAACTCCTTTTTGTGTTCCTGTTTTAGTGTATTATATCTGAATTCGTGTTAAATACGTGTAACTGACACCCCAGAGTCATCCATCGTATCACTGCGTGTCTAACCGGTGTGTTTACTATGCTTGTTTGCCGCCAGGTGTCGCTATGTGCCGCGGCTCCGGGGCTGGCGGGCCTGCTGAGCGGCTCGGTGCTGGCTGCAGGTGAGGGGAAGAAGAAGAGCAGCCAGCCGCCTCTGAGCATCGAGGAGGTGGGTTCAGACAGAGCCTTTCTAAAGACTTTGTTTTACTTTGTCTGTGACTTTGTTTACATCATGTTTACGACGTAGTGCACACAGCCACAGAGGTCTGGATCAGAGTCAGAGCTGACCCTGGAGGGACAGCTTCTGCATCGCAGAGCTTCAGAAGGTCACACTCTGTATTTGTTTCAGCTGCCGTCTCTGTACACCAGCCCTGAAGCAGCGGTGGCCCAGTACGTAGAGCCAGAGGCCGGGCCGGTGGAGCAGAGGGTGGCCTCACTGAGGAAATGGGCAGAACCATACACGAGCCAGTGTCAGGTTTGTTTACTTAACCTCAGGTGGACAACTCAAGAAAAACAGAAAATTAGTCAACCTTATGATGAACATGGACATCTGTCCAAAGCAAGCAGCACTTTATATATTAAATTATATTTGACCTGTGAGTACAGATTTTATATACTTTCAGACTGTGGCAGATCACGTGTTCTTATAGATTTTTGTGCTGATGTATTTCTGGAAGAGAAGCTGTCATGCGGCCTAAGCTGTTGTGCTCCTGTTGTTCTTGACAGTCTCCACGAGCCTGTGGCTTTCTTTCTAATAAAGGACATTGTGGGATTCTTTTTTCTTCCTCTCTGCCACTGTTGCAGAAACATTCCCACTGAATCCAAACAGCTCGTGTTGCCTCAGAGGAGGCGGCATTTCTGTTTCTGTGAGGTTTGTGGCCTTGAGGTGAAGACGTGCAACAAAGACATGACGACGACTGGTTGCTTTCAGAGAGACGCCTGGGAACTTGTCTTTGAAATTTCTTTGCTTTCTGTTCTCCTTTCGTTTATCTCCTTTCTTCTTCTTCTTGGTTTTCTTTCTGTTTTTCTCTCCCTTCCTCTTGTTGTTCTTTTTTCTTTCTACCGCCGTGCCTCCTCACCTTTAAGCCTACCAACCATTCTCCTTTCTTTCTGTCCTGCTGTTCTTCCTTTCCTACTGACATCCATCCTTCCAGTCATCATTCCTTCCTTCCTCCTTTCTTACCAGCTGTGCTTCCTGGCTTCCTTACTTCTGTCCTTCCATTCCTTCTTTCGTTCCTTACTTCTTTCACCCATTCATTCCTTCCATCAGTCCTTACAGGGAGTGCAGAATTACTATTCAAGTTGTATTTTTGAGGAATAATTTTATTATTGAACAACAACCATGTTCTCAATCAACCCAAAAAACTCATTAATATCAAAGCTGAATGTTTTTGGAAGTAGTTTTTAGTTTGTTTTTAGTTTTAGCTATTTTAGGGGGATATCTGTGTGTGC